TATATATATATATATATATATATATACGCGCGCGTATGATTATAATCTTTACATCTTACAGCAGATGTTCCAAGAAGAGATCATATTAGGAGCTCACCGAGTATTATGGAGGCATTTGCTCGCTGGACAAGCTTATCCACAGTGTTCTTGAACTCCTTGGATTCTTTAATCCTGATTTGTGCCCGGAACACTTCACCTAGACGCGGTCTGCCCAACAGTGCCATTTTCTCCTCTTCCGTTCTCTCCTCCGGCTGCTTCAGCTCCGCCGCTGCAGCGATTCCTGCTTCCGCTGAAACCAGAAAATCGCATCTTGCTACTTTAATAATGTCGGGGCATGTTCTGCAACAGAATAAGTGGGAAGTCGATTCATGGTCAGATAAGAACAGCGAAACAGTTTCTGTTAATTAACAAGTTTTAATTAATTCCAGTCTGGCATAATAAATATGCGCGTTAAAAATAATATCGTTATAAACTTTTTTACAGGATATTTTTGGATATCGAATGACCCATTTTTGCATTTGCAAAATGCTAAAAGTTTTAAGCACTTTCAAGAAGAGAGTTTTAACATTGAGGAACATTAAAACACGGACAGTTTTAAACCAAGTTAAATTAAGATTACAATTTTAAAACACAAATTATTTACTAAAATTATTTATTAAAATATACAATATATATAATTCTTTCTACATTATATAAAGTTACAAAATTTGTATATAGAGCACATTTTACTTAGACTTTAAAAATTATTATTAACTATTCTTTAAAAATATTTTATTTTTTGTTAAACGATATTATTTTTAATATAATATATTGTTATTATTTTTATATCTTCTTATTTTTATGTATTCATATATTACTGATTTATATTACTGGTTGCTAAATATTCTGTTTAACCTTTCCAGTTTTGCATTATATATAAAAAATGTATAAGAAATGATGTAACGAAAGTATAGATGCACAGAAAGGTTAAATAAAATTTTTAATATCAATTGTTAAAGATAAACTCACGCTACTCTATAAAGATCGATCGTGTGAAAGCAATATTGAACAAGATTGATTGATCAATGTCCTCCTCCATGTGAATCCATTAAAATAAACCTTAAACATAGAAGACAAGTCCGACAAACAGCCGCTTTCTCATGTGGTCGTGACTTTATTATCGATTGGTCTCATGAATTATAGTCGCACACCTCTCTTAAGCTAATTCCGCGCTTCGTACTCCGTGTCTGACCACGCATCGACTCACATCACTTGCATTAACACTTTTCTACTAGCGCATAGTGTGAAACTAATTCAGCCTAGAAGAAAAATATTGTTCTATGTGGCTGCATACACACAAATATGGAATGATAAGTATGAATACGATGTATTCATTTTATATATTTTATTATGCAGTTAGTATGGCAAATAATTTCGACAAAAGTACATTTTGAGCCATGTTATTTCGTTAGCTGAAGAAATGTTAATATATATAAAGAGGGATATATTAAGTCCAATCCAGATGTGTTATTCATGTAACGATAAAATTTTCTACAATCCAATATGTATTGACGATTTTACACAAAGTGTCTTTGCTGCGCTATCGATGCATGAATAATACTGAATGACCACATTTATCTCCGTCATCGAGGGATGATCGATACTTTACGCCGGGTGTTTCGATCGATGATGAATAACGCATTTATTGTTGGTATCTCCTGTCTACAGTCGTGATGGTATATGGTCGTATTTTATCGAAAAAATAAAAAAACCGAATAAATCTGAAATGTGTTAAAATAAGAGACAGCCAAGAGATAAAAAAGAAATAGAGAGCGAAAAAAATTATTACTATTATTAAAAGGAAATGTTGTGTGTAACATAGATAAAAAAGAATAAAAATATAGAATATAAAAATATAGAATTTTTCATTAAAATAAAAAATTTTAACCAATACATAATGTAATTTTTTTTAAAAAATCCAAAATTATATTTAAAAATTTATTTTATTTAAGATCGTTTACAAAAAGCTCATAGATCCTTTTAAGATAAAAAAAACGATTAGTGGATACACTTTTTCTATAAATGATTAGTTATATCTCAATCACAACAGAAAAGTTAAAGGATCTTTATTAGAAAAATGTGTTACTGCTTAATCGCTTCTTTATTCTCCAGGAAATTGTCTAGAAACATTCTTTCGTAAGCGGATATAAATTTGTTTGTCTTGGCTTTCACTAGATGTTCTAATGTTACTCCATAAAAGCTTCTTATAGTTCATATCTCGACTAAAGTTCTGGGAGTTAGCTGACCGTATTGGCAAATTCAATTTCGTTTGACTTTTGTTTGATTTAAAATAGATATATCAACACTGTTATCTTCTATAATATCCTCTCTAAACTTCGCGAAAGAAATATTTTATTAAATCGCTATGATATTGCCAATATAATTTAAGGATTAAATACAACAATGACAACAATAATAAATATATTCGATTTATTATATTTGTAAACAGTTTTTGATGGATTTTATCGGATTTTAAGCGGGAAATAGTCTTTTACAATACGCGATATAATCTGAAACATGCAGCAAAATAATAAACATAATTTCTGTAATTTCGGTAGTTATCGGTTATGTAACAATAAAATAATAATATAATATTATATTCAAAATTATTATATTTACAAAAAACATTGTTGTCACTTGTAAAATAATAATAACAATCCGTTGTTGAGGTATGATTTTATCATCGTATAGTATTTCCAACACAAAACAAATCTGCCGTTTACTGTCTACTTTTTCGTGCTTTTATACGTTTAATTTTATTTTTGCAAAAACTTCAGTTAGATTGATTTAAGGATTTTTGTACGCTTTCAACATATTATACAAAAATCGGAGAAAAACATTTTTATAAATTTTACCATAAAACCGATTTCTTACTATGATTAGAGCAACAAAATCAAGATTAGAATAATATAATAATTAGTACTTATAAAGAATACTAAATATTACTTCTCTGTATGTTTCCTGATTCTGCTCACGTTAGCATAGCTAACTTTATAGATAAAGTCATTCATAACTGTCGGATCTAAAATGTATTCAAAAATAAAATCGTCGGGAAAATATATTGTTAAGTAAATAATTATTCAATGTATGTAAATAAATAAATAATGATAATGGTATTTGAGATTTCACAATCTTCTTTTGAAAATTAATTAATTTTAATTTTCATAGACGATAATTAGAAAAGACAATCAAGATTGCTGTAAATTTGTTTTTCAAAGCCATATTTTAATGCGTCATTGAATATTAAATCTCATTCGAACAAAGGAATACAATTTAAGGAAAGGAAAAACAAGGGAGGTTAAAATGAGAATATTTTCTGACTCATTGTCAGACACAGATAAGATCAATAAACGATCGACCGATGAACGTCAGATGCAGTCGGGATGCAATTTATTACGCTCGAAATACGCTTTTATTTGAAAAAAACTGGCGCATTAAATTTGAGGTAAAGGAAATGTAATTTGCCTCAGGAATTATTCTGTGTTTTGCTTTCTAACGTAACGTTTTGCTTAGTTAGCATTATGTATATCTCAATATTTCTTTGCTTGAATATACATATATATATATATAGTAATATGTTGCGGTGCATTTTAAGTGAATTGCATTCTGTCAGTGAAATTAGCTCATATATACATTTTACATGCTTGCGTGAGAATATAAATATATTATTATTTTCATGTACTTTCTCATGTAATTTCACATAAAGAAATTAAAATATATTCTAAGTCTAAAATATATTCTAAAATTTTGCATAAAGTTTATATAAAAAGTTAAGACAATCTTTTTAAAACTTATTTATTTCCTTCATTTATATATTTACTTATTTATTGATAGATAAATTAAAAAATCCGTTTCAGTTTTAGCTTTAATTATTTAAAATCTCTTTAATTTGTTATTCTTTAGGTTAAGATATAACGTTCTTGACATTTTGCAATTGATTCTCATAAGGTATACTTTTTTTTTTACTATACGTAATTACTGCATGGATAATAGATCAATAAATAAGATAATTTATCCAAACTAAATAAAAAATGCGAAATGAATCTTTTAAAAACCTTTTTATTTTTTATGTATTATAAGAAATAAATTACTTTCTTATTTTTTTATCTGTTAAAAACTTAAAATATTATTTGAGTCACTTAAAATAAATAATTAAGAAATTAATCATGGGAATAATTTATAAACAGAAAATTGTACTATTCTTTTACTGGGTGAGCTTCGCAGTCGAAAAATTGCTAGCTATTGCAAAACTGGGACACGATGATTGAATACAAGCATTGATAACTAAATATGGTCCTGACTTTTCCATCAGAATTTTAAACTTGATTGGGGAAGTCAGAAATAGATGACTGCGGAAAATCTCGTCTCATTTTGCAAAGTTTTTTTAACTTACGAAGGTTTAACTTACGAACGGTAGTGGAATTTTCACGAGTGCTTCTCGATCAAAATGTCGAAATTATCGGAAAACATAAAGAATGATAGGCGGAAGCAAAAGAAAAATTCAGTATACGAATGTAATAAATCTTTCTCCAAATTTTTTAAAAATTTCAGAGATCTATTTATAAAGAAATATATACGTTCAAGTTAAAAGATTTTAATCTTTTCGAAAAAAATTAAAGACCGAAAGTAATAATAAAACTTTAAATTATAATGATAAAATATAATATTATATTTTTTTAGTTAAAAGATTATAGACTGTTTGATAATAGTAGATTACAGAAAATAGTTAATATTCTGTAAATGAGCAATAAATAAAATATAAGAAAACAGCAAAAAACTTAAAAATCTCTATTATATATTATATTAGCATATCAATAAACACGATCGTATCGCGTGCAGCAAGTAACGAGGCAAATCGGTATTTATGCGCGAGCTGTCAAGTTGAAAGTACTTTAGATTACCGTATCTCAGAAACGCCAATTGAGTTTCTAATAAGTTTAATCGATAGCCGCGGTTTTGATTATACTACGAACATGCTTTAACTCCATATTCTATTCAAGTGGGTATGAGTGGAGATATCGCAATGCAAAGATGTCTGAAATAGGAAATTATTATGAAACATCATTATTATACCTGATTACCATAGATAAAACGTAGATAAAATCTTCTTCCATTTCTAATACAAGGCTAGGCTAGGAATGATTGAAACAATCTTGATACACATATATGTGTCAGAGATAATAATCGTCAGAATAATATGGTTAATCCTCCGAGAATTTAATCGTGACAGATATTTCAGCGAAACGCTAC